CGGCCATGAACTGCCTCAAGCCGCCAGGAGGGGGCGCCTGTGGCAGTAGCAGCAGCAGCAGCTAGGTCATCACTACAACTCAGACTCCCAGGCTTCCATCAACGACAGTAGCCTCCAGAACTGACCAGTGAGAGCAGGTGGAGCTTCAGTTTGGTCATCTGCTCTAAACTCACTCTCAGAGAGGAATGGATCTCAAATATGAGCTCATCTGAGGTGTTGAAGCTTCACACAAGGTTTACATTCCATTAATCATGTCCACAAAAAGGCAGGTATTTTTGAAAAATGGTCTTTTTTTCTGTCATGTTATGGAATGTTGCTAACCAAACAATAAAATACAAACAACCACTTAAAAATAAACTTGTTTCTCGTACTGAAATTAAATTAATTGTATTTCTGGGGCATAAAGAGAAAGCAAGACACTGAAATTTTAGTAGTAAATTAGTTAGTATTAATGGTTTTGATGAGAAGGGGCAATAACTGTAACTGTAAATAAAAAGTAAAAAAATAGACATGAGTGACTCAATATGTTAAAAATTAGCTGTGTCCATAAATGACAGGTCAGGAGGATAAATGGATGGATTTCTAACCTTGTATTAATTTGATTTGTTTTTTTATCCTTTCCTATTTTTTTCCCTTATTTCATGATCATCTTTTTTCTACTGCACTCACTTTTTATGGCCCACCTCACTGTAACTGTGTCTTTTACGTTTGTACATGAGAAGGGACTTGAAACTGGACGACCTCTGTTTCAAACTGACTCAGATTCAGATGAGGAAAAGACTTTAGGAAGAAGAGAATTCTACAGTGTGACAATCAAGGTCCTGGAGCTCCTCACCATTCAACAAGAGACATAAAGCTGCAGCTATTTGCTTTGGGGACACGAGGGTTCTACAGTACTGGCTGCAAACTCACTGGCTGCATTCACACAAACACATCATTCTGCAGCAAAGTCACTAATCTGATGAGTCCTGATGTGTAAAACAAGCAAAACTGGAAAAGAAGTCTGCAATAAAGGAGAAAAAAACAAATTATCTGTTGATTCTTTTTTCCGTATAATTCATGACAAAAAAAATCTCATTTGAAACTGTATTACTGTGTTCTTGTCAGGCTAAAATAAGCTCAAGTCAAAATAAAACCTAAGTTAGTAAAGAATACTCCAAACAGCTAATTTATTTCATTTCACATTATCTTAATTACAGCAGAGTCAGACAGACTCTAAATCTGCAATAGGCCGTAACACTGAGGCCAACGCCTACGGCAAAAACAGTGACTGGTTTTCACACATACCTATTTACCAAGATGGAAAAAAGCCAAAGGTTTAATTAGATTAAAGCAAAACCTACCTACGCACAAGCACACAAAGACAAAAAGTTAATTAAAAAGAGCTTTTAAAGAGTGACAGTGTCTTCCACAGCCTCAGTCGTCCTCAAACCTTTGGTTAGTCTAAAGGTTGTTGCTCTCAACTAACACACACACACACACCCAAAGGTTGTTGCTCTCAACTAACACGCACACACACACACACACACCACTTAAGACAGTCTGCGTCATTTCTATCACACAAAAACACACTGTTATTTCTCTCAGATATTTGTTCTCTGAACTTTCTGAATCAATGTCTGTGTAGAGTCTCAGTCGTCCAGGTCATCTTATTCAAAACATAGTTGCATCGAGATCAGTTCTGAACTGAAGAAGCTTCTGGGATAAGAGGTGAAACGCCTTCAAGAAACCTCCTCCGTCCAGTTGCCCTCGATGTAAGTATTTTTTTAATCAATGTTCACTTCTCAATGGTGTAACTGTTTCTAGAGTTACATAAATTCTAAAGGGAACAACCTTGACTCCAAGACTCCACAAGAGTGAATGTTCAGAGAACATGAGGAGGAGGAAGGGATTTTTTTTTGGTGAAAACACAGTCAGACTGGTGGATAAGGATCAAATGCAGAGAGCAGACCTGAGAAACCAGACAGTCTGAAAAATAACCTCATTTGTCTCCGGGCTCGGTGAGAATACGTCATGAGGACAACAAACATCTTTAAAAAAAAAAAAACTTCCTCTGTGGAAGTTCAAGCATCAACTTTACCTTTTCTTTCTCTGTTCCTGACCTTTAACATCTAGTGTTTTAAAAGGTTCCATTGAAATAAACATGTCACTCTATTTTTTAGTGAGAAAAAAAAAATCCTCCCACACACAGCTGCATGAAAACAAACAAAAAACAAAAAAACCACAGGTGCATCACTGACTCAACCAGGCCACGCCTGAAAACACACACCTGCTGTGTGTTTTCTACGGTCACACAACTGCAGCCGATAGACTGAAAAACACAACATGAATTCTTGCACATGCTTGAATGTTTTTCTAAAAACATTCGTTTCCATTGCTACTATGTTTAGCTTGTGAAATAGCATGTCAAAACGCATTAATATTATTGTTGTACCATTATCATGAGGTATTTTTGACATGTTTCTTTTTTTGTGTAAATTCCCTAAAAAGTGTTTATATTGTTGGCTCGCCTTAAAAAAAAGAAGTTAATTTTTTCAGACTTACTATTTCTCGCTTCACTGTGTGCCAACTCAGAAGTTTGGGTTCGGGATGAAGACCCGGCCTCATATGCATCTGATTGGCTGATACTCACCAATCGGCTGATTTCATTGGTTGGGTTGATCAGTGTAGTCAGTGAGGGCAGCGGATTTGACAGTGGGTGTGTCAGCTTTTAGGGCTGGTTTGTAGACATGGTTGTTTCTCCTGCAAGATTCGGCAATTTACCAAATCCATATTTAATATCTAATACTATGGTCGCCTTTTTTTGCACAAGGTTTTTTATTTATTATTATTTTTTTATTGCTAAATTTCTCTCATAGCTGATACAGTCGTCCCTCGCTGTATCGCGTGTTTTTAATATTTTAAATATATTGGTGTATTGCAAAGTTTTCTGCTCTATTTTCTTCGATTTTGCGGTGTATTTTTCTTTTTTCCAATTTCGAACATTTTCATTATTTTCGTGATAAAATGTGCATTTCTAGCCTAAGAAGAAAAAAATCAATTAAAAGACATTTTGTCACACATACATACAGGGTATTGCGAGAAATAACCTGTACCTAAGGGTAAACGAGATTCATGAAAGTTTCTTTAATTTTTTTATTTATTTTTTGCCATATTTCACTATAGCATACTCTACTTGCGTTTTTTCACCTATCGCAGTCTTGGAACGTAACCCCACGACAGACGAGGCACCAACTGTAATCCATGTCATATAAAAGAACATTATAAATAAATATTATAAATATTAAAAATATTTAATAATAAAACATATTATAAATAAACACGATGAACAACATAATTTCGTGTATACGTCTGGATGTCACACCATAAGTTCGTGTATACGTCTGGATGTCACACCAACACACCTGAAAAACAAAGTCTGTACAAAACCAACATTCAAGGCAACACATTTTATTTCAAAGGCCTAACTGGCTTTAAGGTACAGCGTATTAAACACCGTTAGTCCAGAGACAGTCGTTACCAATCTGACCTCTATGTGATACATTCAGGCCCAGTTTAAAATGACACTTTTAACATACTGTTAATGTGACGCTAACAAGAGTATTTTTTTATTTTTTTAAAAAGCCTTTATTCAGGGTCTGTGTTGTTAATATTATGATAATTTTAGATTCTGTCCTGTCCAGTTTGTCTCCTCCTAACAGCTGATTAAGACACTTTTACTTTCTCTGCTAGTTAACAGTGGTTACCTGGAGTTAACTGAGTGGCGAGTAAGCATCTGGGTTAGTTAGTGTGGTGTGGAGCTGTAGAACAGAATAGTGTTTTTGTTGTTTTGTTTTGTTTTTTTTACATCCCTGCACGTTATAGTTCAATAAATATAATAAATAAAAAGTACAAACATCTGATATTATGGAAACAGATTAAAAGACATTTTTTGTCCTTGTCAGTTAATACATTAAAACCAACAAAAAAAAAAAAACTGACCTAAAAAAACCCACACATCTGAGTGGATGGAGACTTCATGAACGTCAGGGGCAGAAGAGTCTCATCTTCAGCCTCTTCCCATCAGGAGAAGACAAAGTTTTTTAGTTTCTTTTTTTTTTTTTAAATTCAGCTGCGTCACGACGTTCCAAACCACGTACATTCTGCTGCTGCTCCTCTGGGTCAGTGTGTGTGTGTGGGGGGGGGTCAGGTGGGGTGTGTGTGTTTGGAGTCCACACTCTGACGTTAAGTGTTTAGTGTTGCAGGAGGATTGTTCCGGAGTCACACCGGAGTCTCCCTCCTCCCTCCTCTGGTCTTCTGCTGCAGACTGTCCAGGTTCCTTGTTCAGTAGTTGACCTTCCCAGGGACCTGCATGTTGACGCCACTGTAGTCCACCATGTACATGGGCCACTGCTGTGGGGACAGACAGAGGGAGACGGACATGGTTTACTCTGGAACCACATTTATCATCTGGATACCAGGATTATACTCCAACAGTGGCAGAGACCAGCTTTGGCCCAGTGGTTAAAGATAGGGCTTTTTAGTAGAGGGTTGCTGGTCTGAATCCCAGCCCTGACAGAGCTGACAATGGTATGGAGCTAGTGAATGTATTTAAAAAAATTAAATCAGGGTGTCTGCTTATTGTAGTGCAACTTCATTGAACAGAGTGAATACCTAACCCGTCTCTTCTCATACTAGTTCCAGCCGAGCTGGACAGACCACTGCTGCTGTGTTTCAATGTTGGTCACATTGTTGGAAAGACAACTATTTTCTAAAGTAGTGTGTGGTGGTAAAAGTATTTATTCACGGGTTATTCGGGGTCCGATCTGTGCTTGTGGGGGCTTAACCATAAATATTTACAACTGTTGTCAGATGACTGCAGCAGTTAATCTGAGGTTTAAACTGCTGGAATGATTTCCTGGATATTTTGTGGACGAGGAGTTCATGACCTAAAAGGAAGGAGCCATTACATTTTGGAACAGACGCAGGAATGTGAGTGTGTGTGTGTGTTATTTTGTAGAGATAAGGCTGAGGGTCAGCTCTGTCTGAGCTCCATCTGTGTCCACCTCTTCCTATCTGCTGCGTTCACATGTGTTAGCAGCATCCGCGCTGATCCCATTTTCAGCGCTCTATTTTTAAAAACACTGCCGGGTTGGTTTTGGGACCAGATCGGAACGACATCTGGCAGAGGAGAGGCTTCATTAACTGGAGCCGGGAAGACTGGTCGCAGCGGCTCAAAGATTCATTTCAACTTATCAGGACAGGCCTGTAACCTCGCACTCAGTGATGGCAATAAAACGTCTCCTGAAATAGAGCGGCTAACAATCAGCCTTTTATTTCCTGTAAAACTTCACACCGTGCGTCTTTATTGGAGCTCCTAAAACAGCGTTTAAGAGCAGAGACGACATTTCCTACTTCAGCTTCTACTCCGGTCTGTGAGGGATTTAAAACAAAGTGGTTTTGGAGGTTCATTTATATATTTTATATAGACGTGGACAAAACATGAACTAATGGTATATAAAATGAAATCACCGGGACTGTGCGTTGGCAGGCTCCACAGAATTATAAAGTCTTTTAGAGTTCTGTGAATCAAAAACATTCTTTGAGTTTTAAAGTAGGAAACTGCACTGACTTGGTTTCATCTCTTATCTGAGAGGTTTCTTCACATCAGACCAAACAAGTAAACTGTTGCCCTCAAATATGTGGTCTCGGTTTGATCGCAAGAGGGTAATGCAACCAAACGAACCAGAGACGGTAAGCAGAGCGTGGTGCATTTTGGGTAAAAATCAACACTGAACTGATGATATGCCAAGGGCAGACATAGAGTAGTGAGGAGGTCTGTAGTCCAATCTTTTTTTTTCTTTAAACATACATACCATCATTGGAATCTGATTGGTCGATAAGCCCAGGTCAGAGGAGACAGGCATTCGACCGCCCTCTTGAATTCTTTTACGTTTTCGCCTATTAATCGATGCC